CCCTCCAGAGAACAAGAATGACCACATTAAAGTTGACAAAAATGCTCATTCATGCTAGGCCTGCGTGTGATATTCTAACCTGAAGAGTGTGTTTTGTTCCGCTCACCGCTGCATGTGATCATGCAGAACTGCGTGTCGACACGTCAGCAGCAGCTGATCTCTCTCTCCCTTCAGATTAGACTTCACTCGCGTTTATGTCCATATCGATCAGATCCAGCTAGTTCTAGCTAATGATATGACTACCTGCTTATTAAAAGACACCTAAACAATAAGTGTCGCTATGCAACCGGGTGAGGCCACAAAGCATAGCGCAGCATTATGCATTTGTTTACATGCCCACCGGAACCCCGAGGCATTACCAACAGATCAACGCACAATCAACCCATACAGGACATCTCTTTCTCCACATTAAGTGTTAGACATTAGAATTGACTATTCTTGTCTGTCACATACTCTTCTTGTCTGTCACATAAGTGGCGCCACTGAAGCGGTATTGCGCTAAAGGGAAATTATTTTGACCGGAGAGATTTAGATTTGCCGGCTAACGGGAACTCTGACGTCGCCATTTTGTGTGCTTCGCGGATGTGCTCGGATCCTCTCGACTGCTGCTCGGGTCTGCTCGGTCAGCTTCCGCATGAGGAGGCATTCGTTCGACCAACTTACAGTAGATAACATTACAAACATTTTGAACACGGGCCATAATAGTGTAAATAATGTTTGTTTTGGCAGTTATAACTGAATGTTATGTTTTCTACTTTTTTACATGTGGGAAGGCATTTGCCTTCATCAGATGGAAAGTGTCTTCACCAACAACTTAAGTATTTCTTATAGCTATGCAGGGCATGCAAGCGAGCTAACACAAACAAGAACAAACAAACAAGTGAAATGAAGAATAAAATGTAAATTGTACAATATAATATTGTGGTGGTTCATCTTATAATTCAGTCTAGAGAGAATGCACCAGACAGCATCTAAGACCTGCAAAAATCTACATTTTCTAGGGGGAGGCCCCCCAAACCCTTCGTGCCATTTCGTCCTTGCGCATTTTTCAGGGCAATCTCTATTGGGCTCAGGGCCATCTGTAAATTAGCTTAGATGGCCCACAGGGCCATCTCCCAAAATCCTTAATGTCATGCACTGATAATACAATTTTAAAATGAATACATAAATCTCTCAATGAATTTGTCTCCTGCCATAATGGTCCTACTTTCTTTCATATGTTAAAGACACCTCTTATATGCAGCCAAATTAGCGAAATAAAATGTAGAGTTTACATGGGCTTTCTTAGGTTATTGCTTTGAGCAAATAGAGCCTTTTACCTCAGCGGGCCACTAAAAAAAGCTTGTGTTATTTTTCTCTGAATATTTTATAGGGAGATACTGTATATTAAGCAGATTACTTTAAGTTAGGGAGATGTGTCTTAAACAGAGGTGGAAGAAGTACTCAGATCTTGCAAAAGCAGAACTACAAGAGTGTAGGAATACTCTGTTACAAGTCATGGGCCTGGATTCAAAATGCGACTCAAGTAAAAGTACAAAAAAGTATTAGCATCAAAATATAGTCCCAAAAGTAAAAGTACTCATTATAAAGATTGGCCAACTTCAGAATAATAAATAGTATGTTAAGAATAAAGATTATAATTATTGATGTATTAATATCACAGCTGGTAAAGGTGGAACTAATTACTTTATTTACTCCTGGTAGCTTGCGTATTCTTTTTTAAGTATTGATCATACATATTTGATTAATGTATCCATAGGTCTGCGTAGTAACTTAAGGTATTAAAGGAATTGTAGTGGGGTAGAAGTCGAAAGTAGCAAAACATGTTCTGTACTAGGACATTTACTCGAGTCCAAGTAAAGGACTTGAGTAAATGTTCTTTGTTACTTTACTTAGGGAGTGAACCAGTATTTATGTCTTGCAGAGCACAAAGTAAAGATGTAACAACTTTTTTTCTATTACATTTTAGCATTTACATTGTATAAACCATATTCTCAATGTATGGATAAAGTAGGTATTTATACATTCAAATGAAAACAGGTTTTTGATTATGCAGGTGCAACAGCCATCATATCTCATACTTTACAACAGGTTTACATAGGTTTAGTAGACCAATTTCCTCAAGACAGTGTGTGAATAACCAGTAAATAAGTGAACTTTGTGTTTATATACATGACATGTTTACCCCTCTCCCATCATGCTTTGCACGATTCAAATGTTAACATTACCAACACTTTGATACATTTAACTATCTTGCTGTTCCCAACACTAATTCACTTTACTCACCTTATATTCTGTCGTCGAAAAGTGGATTCTCGGGGGGAAATGTAAATCCATTGTTTCACTTTAAGCCGAGGAATTATCAGCATTTCATATTCTGAGTGGTGGGTGGCGGCGCAATCAATAAGCTAATTAAATTAAATAAATGTACCACGGACAACAGCGCCATCTGTTACACCTATCAATAGCTGTTAAGTACTTGTCTTTTCTTCAGCTACTTTTAAATAAATAATGTAAATACAAATTATATATTAAATAAGAAAAACGTTGCCAGCGGATAGTTTAATTTATCAAAATGTTAGAAAAAGGTCGCACTGTTCCTTTTATATGTTCCCCTTTTTCTTTTCCCACACAAACGGATATTGGCTCCATGTTATTTCCCTGTGTCACATGAATTTGTGTCCCCAAAATGGCGACCTTAGCTGCTGCTGCTGCGGCTGCTGCTGCTGCGGCTGCTATCGCCGCTAATAGAGACCCAGCTGTTGACCGGTCATTACGATCCGTATTTGGTAAGTCTGCGACAGTTACTTTCAGCTATATTCCCGTTTGTTTCTAAAGCAGTGTTCTAATGGATAATGAAGGGGAGCTAGCTAAACATGGCCGGCTAAAGTTGCTGTTAGCATGGCAACGAGGGAACTGACTTAACTTTAGGTAGGCTACATAAATAGAAAACAAATATTCAAAACTAAAAAGCAGAGGTGCGAAGAAGTAGTCCAATGTTCTGCTTTAGAGAAATTAAAATATCAGAGAGAAGGAATATTCTGTAACAAGTAAAAGTCCTGTATTCAAAATCTTGCTCAAGTCAAAGGAAGCCCAAGCATTAGCATCAAAAGATACTTAAAGTACCAAAAGTAAAAGCACTAATTATGCAGAATGGCCCATACCCACATGATATATATTATATGTTTTGATTATAATTATTGATGCATTAATAGGTTCATCAAAGCTGGTAAAGGTGGACCTAATTTAAAGTACTATATTTACTGTTGGTAACTTGTAAACTAAATCCAGTAACAGACGTTTTCTTTATGTGTTGATTATGTTTTATATCATTAATCCCAATATGCAAAGTAATTTACGGTATTAAATAAATGTAGTGGAGTAAAGTACAATATTTACCTTTCAATTGTAGTAGGGTAGAAGTACAAAGTAGCAGAAAATGGAGATACTCATGTAAAGTATCTCAAAATTGTACTTAAGTACAGTACGTGAGTAAATCTACTTAGTTTCTTTACACCACTGTTAAAAAGGGAATTTGTTTTAATGTCATTTTTCTCATTTATTTATTATTTCAGTGGGGAACATTCCGTATGAGGCCACAGAGGAACAGCTGAAAGACATCTTTTCTGAAGTGGGACTTGTTGTCAGCTTCAGGTGAGTGAAAGAGGTTTCTTCAACACATAGAGATCAATCCTGTGTTTTCACGGCATGTGTGTGTCTCCTAATGTAAACATGTGGCATTGCAAGTCATTGGTAAGGGCTATCATTGGAGTTAAAGTTGCTTCAAGCTACACATTTTACTCACGCACATGGTTACACCTACTCTCCTCTTTTAAATACTCTTCTTTCCCAATTTTCTAATGATTGGCTATGTAAACTATCACACAATTCAATTCAATCTATAACACACATGATGCCCCCTTGTTGGCCCTGGCTTCAAAAAAGGAAAACTCTTGAAACAAAACCCCATTTTAACATGGAATATAAGTTGCAAGGGGACATAATGATATGTGTTTTCTTGCTCTCAGGTTGGTATATGACAGGGAGACTGGTAAGCCAAAGGGATATGGCTTCTGTGAATACCAAGACCAGGAGACGGCCCTCAGTGCCATGCGGAACCTGAACGGGAGGGAGTTCAGTGGTCGGGCTCTGAGGGTTGACAACGCAGCCAGTGAAAAAAACAAGGAAGAGCTGAAAAGTAAGATTACATATTGTTTGGGCAATATTTAAAAACGAGTATGTTGATTTAAGATTTAATTCAAAGTCGTTCACGCGAAGTCATTGCAGGTTTGGGAACTGGAGCCCCAATTATCGAGTCTCCTTATGGAGACACCATCCAGCCACAGGAAGCCCCGGAGTCCATCAGCAGAGCTGTGGCCAGTCTGCCCCCCGAACAGATGTTTGAACTTATGAAACAGATGAAGGTATGCTGCCTGGTTTTTTTTCCCCCCCAAAGTATTCCAGCTCTTTCTTGTATGGGGCTGGTTTGTTAACATTTCCAATGTCAAAAGTATAAAACAATATGATATTGAACAACTGAATGTTTCAATGGTATTCTAATATATCGAAGACAATTTAAATGAACTAGAAAACCTATAATTAGGAATATAATATATTGAAAGTATTTGATATTGGAGATTCATGTTACTAAACTGTGTATTTAATAGAGATGGGTATCGTTTGAAATGTATCGATTCCGGTTCTTATCGATTCCCCGTTTCGATTCCAAAATTGTAAAAGAAAGAAGTCAAACGTTTAGATAACAAATATCTTTATTCTTTTAAGCTTTAACTGAAATGTTTACAAATAAAAAATATACATGCAATACAAATGTATTGCGCAATAGCTGTGCTTTATTTTAACTGAGCTATGCCTGTGGCCAGCTATTAACTTAAAAATAAGGGTGGTCCCGGCCGTCAGCAAACTGAGCCGGCCGTTCTGTAATTCTACAGAACACACAGATGGCCAGTCAGCCCCTGGTTACCCTGTATTCCACCGGGTCACCGCGGCGCAGACGGAACCGGTGGAATACAGGGTCTACCGCGTTTAGGAACCGTTAAGCAGAACCAAAATTGTGTATTTTGTATGGGTACCCGGTACCCGGCATTTTCTTATCGGTTCTCTTCTGGAACCGAGTTTCGGTTCCCAAACCTAGTATTTAATGCTGCTTAGTGTCTTCATACCCACAAAAGATGGTAACAAAGGTTTCCTCAGCTGGAATCCTCTCAGGATTCCCTCTCATTATCAGAGGCTGTGCTGTAGGAGCCGTCTCTCAGCTCTGGAGAAGCCTTATCTTTGCACATCTGGCAGTGTGCTTCATTAGGCTAAAACAACATCACACTGCAGACATTTCCCCCTTCAACTGGAAATGTTTTTGTTGCACCAAAGCTTGTGTCAGTTTCTCCATATGCTGAGCAGGGTGTGGGTGTTCAGGCTCCGATCTTGGTGGCCCAGATCTCATTGCACGTCTTTGTTTAATGTTTTTTGCTGATGCAGCCACTTCGGGTTGACATGTATCTGAATCCTAAGTGGTTAGTAAGAACTACAGGGGGTTGTCTAACCTGGGAGGAAGAAAATAATATACTCCCTTTTAATGTCTGCCGAATTGGGATTTTCCATTGTCTACAGATCCCATTTCAAGGTTCTGTTTTGTGATTTCTCTCTCCAGCTGTGTGTGCAGAACAGTCCCCAGGAGGCGAGGAACATGCTGCTGCAGAACCCTCAGCTGGCCTACGCCTTGCTGCAGGCCCAAGTGGTGATGAGGATCGTTGACCCTGAGATAGCCTTGGTGAGTGGAGACTACAATGAGAAGGAAGAGATTAGCCAAATGCTGCATCATCTTAGTGTTAGAAGCGAGGTTCTAGTCTGCCATTTTGAACCAGTGCATATTTGTGAGAGTTGCTCCCAATGCTGACATGCTTTTCCATATTCTCCACATTTAGAAAATGCTCCACCGTCAGACACCAGTCCAGCCGCTCATTCCCAGCGGACAGGGGGGGGGAGCGCCGCCCCTCAACCCCCCCTCTGCTCCACCCAACATGCAAGTGCCTCAGCCGCAGCAGCCTGTGGTGAGTACGATGGTCTTTCTTTTTTTAACATTTTTTTATTTTTTGATTTGGATCACATTTCAACTTCAGTGTACATATGTAGTTAAATAGTTGGTCAGAGTGGTCCGTCTTTCTTTCTCTTTCTTGACAAAACAACAACAATAAGCACACAAGAACATGGGGTGTTTTCTTTGCAATATATATAATATTGACAGTATAGATCCTTAAATAAAATATTCAAACAGTTAGACAAAAGAAGGGCGTATCGGGGTAATATTATACACTTTCCATTTCTCCCAAATCTCCTCAAATCTATGTTCCTGGAGCCTCAAAGAGAAGGTTATTCTTTCCATTACAAAGATTTCGTAAATGATATCGTACCAATCATCTATAGATGGGCTGTTTGGTTTGAGCCATTTCTTTGTGATTGCTTTCCTGGCAGCTACACTCAACATCCCAAACAAGTATTTTGTTTTGATATTTGTGGATGTTGAGTGCAGGAAACCAAAGAGGAGTTCATCCCAATTAAAAAAATGTTTTTTCCAAATATGATGACAATTTCTTTATAAACCTTATGCCAAAAGGTATTTACTACTGGGCAATCCCAGAGCACGTGGTAATGGTTTGCTTCCTGGGAGCCACAATTTCTCCAGCAGCTGGAAGAACCAGCATGGTGAGACTGCTGAGCGGGCGTGATAAAAAATCTAGTGAGACTCTTCCAGGCGAACGCTCTCCATGAGGAGGAGCTTGTTATTCTCCATTGGAATTCACAATAGTTGGATATTTATTTGTATTTTCTTTATTTACTCCAGTAAGTGGTCAGTACTTTAATCTTTAGCACCTGTCGTCGACTTCAATAATTAAATTTTGAGTATATATTGGTAACGAGTGGATAGAGTGTTCACAGGATTACTAAAATCAAAGACATAACTTTAATCCTCCTCTACTCGTTGGTTCTTTTTATACAACTACATACACGGTTTTAGAGCTAAAAAAAAACACAAATCGCGATGTTGTTTAATAATAAAAAAGAATAGTTACTTAACGTATAAGTCAAAATTAGAGACAAAATATGTAATTAGTATCCCGACATAATTTTGTCTCTTTTTCGTCCTACTCTAAGACTCTTGCTTTACAAGACGGTTAATTTGAATTTGGTATAAGTAACTAATATTTTTATCATTAACGTCGCGAGACAATCATGAATCCCTCATAAAACAACCTACATAGTCAGGAATTTGTTTGTGTCGGAAGTCAGGCTGGGAACAGACGCGACGAGGAAGAACTCCAACCCGCTAGAGTGCAAGAGAAGCGGAGGTGGTAGGAGGAGGAGACGACGCGAGGAGGAAGTAGACGAAGTAGTCGCAGTGGACCGAAAGAAAGTACAGTAACTGGAGAAGAACCTCAAAGACGTCGAGGGCAAGCATGGACGAGACCAAAAAGTCCTCTTGCTCGTAAACGAGAAAGAACACGGTGGACGTCGAAGTCGTCCAGAGACCAAGTAGAGGAATTTGCAAAGAGCATCAGGACGAACTGGGCGACCGGAAGAGGAGGCCATCAAGAGGTACCTGTGACGTCATCGGTACGTTTTGTACAATTACCTAAAACAGACCTACGAAAAAAGATTTCTATTTTTTGAGGTGTTGCACACACTTATTTTTTTAGATACTACTTACTTGAGTGACTCTAAAGAACGTCATGAACAGAAAAAAAAAACAAAAAAAAAAAAAAAAAAAAAAAAAAAAAAAAAAAAAAAAAAAAAAACAAAAACCAGGGAGAGGAACAAAAAGACATCACAGAACTCAGAAAAAAAAAACAAGAACAAATACACTACTATAACTCAAGAAAGAGAGAAAGACAGAACAGACGTCGATAAAGTACGATCAGGAAGCACCGAACAAAGAAGTCAGAGCAAGTAACGAGACATTAAAGAGAACTAGCAGTCACAAGTACTAGTAGGTAACAAAAAAAAAAAAAAAAAAAAAAAAAAAAAAAAAAAAAAAAACAGGACAGAGACACATACACAGCGTCCTCCCAATACAATAATATAGTACACGGACAAAAAAAAAATAAACAAAAAAAAAAAAAAAAAAAAAAAAAAAAAAAAAAAAAAAAAAAAAAAAAAAAAAAAACAATGAATAAGAAAAATTTATCATATCGATTATAACATACATTCAAGTTTAATTTATGTAAACTCCCATAACTGTTTGTTGTACACATAGTACCCTTGTTAAGTTTGCCCTAAGTTTCTATTCAAGAGGAGAGGTAACTGAAGTTACATAATTAATAGCTTATTCCAGGGTACAACGCCTTCATTCACCCGCACTTGAAGCGGTGGAGAAATTGCCTTATGACCTAGGTAGTTGTGATCCCAATTGTAGTTTTCTCGAATGTTGGACTACTACTCAACTAAATTTTTTTAATTCCTCTTATTCTGACCTTAAATGAAAGTATAATTCAAAAACTATGCTTCACATTAGTCAAGCTTACTCACAGACGTGTACCAATTCCAATATTGTTTCTCACCGAACGAACTTCTCTATTTCTAGACTCTACCACGAGGGGGTACTAGAGCTGAAACTCATTCGATCTAGCGTTCAATATTCACCCGACTAGCCCGGTAGAGATGGACAGTGAAAAAATTTAGCCCCCTGTGCTGTTATAGTCGCAACTTCTATGTTGTACCATATTTGTACTGAAAAGTCTAAGGAAGTCCATGCGTGGTGTATTTGTCAAGATAGACGACCTGCTGGTCTCCCGCAAGCTTTTGTTGAATGACTTTCAAATAACGCACGTATACCATGTCTAGTCCCCGAGTTTCACTATCAGTTCATCTATAATATTCACCTGAGGTCACTAAATTTTTTGTTCATGGTATATGTATTTTGATTTACCCTTTGCCTTGATTGTCAACAAAGGTCTTC